GCATTTGAGATTCGCCTCTGAACTCCAAAGTTCAGGGTACTTTGGCGCGCAGCCTTAACAACTAGACCGTGGTCAGTGACACGGTCTTGCACGAGCTGGCTCAAACTGTGCCGACCAGGCAGGCGGACAAGCTTCAGCTTCTGCTCAACAAGCTGCTGGAGAGAGCGGATACAGAAGCCTCATCTGCCAACGCGGCATCTTCCTCGGCTTCAAACTTGGGTCCAGAGGTGCCTCCTGCAACGTCAGCTTTCGATGCCGTGGCAATCTTGGAGGCTACGGAGGCGGCTGGGGGTGCTTTGGCTTCGGATGACATTGAGGCGCTCGCTGCCGAACCGGAGCCTCCTCCGGACCCTGCTTCTTTGGAGGGCTCTGCGCCGCCGGCGAGCTTTGGCCCTGCAGATGATGCTGACCCTTGGGCAGGCTGGAGCGCCTCGCAGTTGGGTCAGGGAGAGCCCCAACCAGCATCTTCGGCCGCAGAGCGCTCCGCCCACAGCTTTGGCCGACAGCGCTGGGCCCGGCTTCGAAGACAGGGCGGAGGATTGGCGTACCCTCGCGGGTGAGCCCTTGCCTTTGGTTGGCAACCTTCAACTTATTCAGCTTTGGGCTTGCAGAGTCGCATGCAAGCGCACTGTTCTTGGCACACAGAGCACTTGTGCCGCAGCTGTCAGCGCAAACGACGTTCCGAGTCGTTGCCTGGCATAGCTGCTAGCTTTGGCCCAGAGGCAGCGTCCTCCACTCCGGAGCCAGCTTCCGCAGCCGTGAACCCAACTACTTCTACTTCAGCTTCGGCCCGGGCAGAGCAGTCCTCGCATCAGGCGGACAGCTACACTGCGGATGGTGGTTGGACCGATGGCTCCTGGAATGGTGGCTGGGGTAGCTGGTGGGGTGGCAGAAGCTGGTGATCCACTCCCTGCCGCTTCTACTTTGGCTGCTGCGAGCCTGCCGCTCTTTTTCAGCCCTCATGACAGTGATTTTTGCCATGCTGGATGAAGGCGCAGTGCCGTTCCCAGTCTTTGAAGGCCTTTATTTTCCAATCCTCCAAGGAGGTTCGAGGATTCCCTCGCTTTGGTTTGGGGAGCCTCCAGTTGATCCAGCTTTTGGGCGCTAACTTTGCTTCTTGCTTCGGCCTGCCTGGCTGCAGTCAAAAATATGGTCTGCCTACTAGCGTGCATCTGTTCATGTTGACTCAATGTGTCCGCGTCAGCTGTACTTTCCTGGGCCGTTGGAGACATGTCATCTTGCACTTACTTTGCCCTGGACAGGTGCCATGGATGCGACGTTCGCGGAGGTGGCCCAAGAGTGTTCAGTTCCTGCAGACTTTGCTTCCACCGTGCTTGCAGGTTTTTCAGTTGCGACTTTTGCTCGGGTGGCTAGTACTCGGGAAGCTTGCGAATCAGTGTTCGGTGAGTTGCTTGTTGAGGGTCAATTGGACTCTAGTCCGGCAAGTGGACGCATCCAGGCACTTGCTTCTCTTAGGCTTCTCTTCAACAGATTTCGCTCGGAGGAGCAGCTTGCTTCGCTTGAAGTTCCTCCTCCACCCGAGGTTGTTCCAACTGCACCCGCAGGTTCTACGCCCCCAGCTGCCGGCTTAGTGTGGCACGAAGCTTGGCCAGCCAAGTTGACGGCCGAGGCTGTGGCGAAACTTAGGGAAGACTTTGAATCCTCTTACCCTACAGAATTGCTTGATCAAGACTCGTTTCCTTCCAGCAGACTCTTAGCTTTGGCCGCCCGGATTCAAACCTCTAAAGAGGTGCGGTGGATCCCCTGGAAGTTCAGGTTGAGTTCCAGGGCGCAAGATGATCACTTGTTGCTTCGGCCGAAGAAGACGCCCAGGCTTTCGGAGCTCAGTGACCTACTCATTCAGGTCCTGTTAGTCACAACCTGTTGGCTGTGGCTCTGAGCTTGGTCAAGGCCTGCCACTTAGGTTCCATCAAGATTTACAACAGGAAGTTTATCCGTCTTTGTTTTCCCAGGTTTGAGGCAGGCTCAGGCCTCCGGGGAGGCTCAGCAGGCCGACAAGCGCGCTTGGGAGGTCATTTCAGATCTTTGCAATCTTCGCCAGTGGACTTTGGATAATGCCATGTGTGAAGTCACCGAGGTCAGGTCGGCCATGCCGAAGAACACCCCCTTTCGTGCTAGAGGCCGCGGAGGTAAGGGCCGAGGTGGCAAGGATGGCAAAGGCAGGTCTACTTCGGGCAAGGGTCAAGGAAACAAGTCGTCGGCAGTGCCAGGCGGCAAGTGGCTCAGCACCTTGTACGAGAGTGGTCAGAAAAAGACCATCTGTGTGCGTTTCCAGACTGAGGAAGGGTGCCACGACCCAGCTTGTAAGTATCTTCACGTCTGTGCAGTTCCCACGCCAGAAGGTCGTGCCTGTGGGGGTAAACACCCAGCTTTCCGCCATAAGGCTACTCCTCATTAGGGGGGCCGCTGTGACTCAAGCAGGGGAGTTACGGTGGTGCCTGGCTCTGCCACCCTGCAAGGCCATACTGGCTCGCTTCCAGGTGTTGTGTTCTCCTCGTCTTCTGCTCAGGCTTCAGCTTCGCCTCTGCTTCTGCAACAGCAGGGCCTCTCGTTGGCCCAAAGCGCTTTGGATGCGGGTCGTTTAGACTTTGACACGTGTTTGGCGTTGCTTCAGGAGGTTCTGCAGCCAGCAAGCCCCACGTACTTCAACTTTGAGGCATGCCCTTCCCTTAAGTCAGGTACTTGCTCCCTCTACTCCTGTACCGAGAGCCAAGCCGACTTGATCAGGTTTGTCAACGCCCTTCTTCTGCGCTTCTTCCCGGAAGGTACCTGGTCCTCCCTCTGGATCAACTTTGACTGCAAGAAGCTCCCGCATAGGGATAGCCAGAATGCTTTAGGCTCAGACAACTTTGCCTTTTCCTTAGGGGAGTTTCAGGGTGGGGGTCTCTGGCTTGAACAAGCTTCGGTTACGCTTGGCGGTGCCGTCTTGGTGCCCCCACCCTCAGCAGTGGCCGGCGTGGGTCAGGTTATAGATACCAACCGACGCCCGTGCTCCTTCGCTGCCTCGGCCCTGCGTGCTACCATGCCCTGGCAAGGCCATCGCTGGCTGGTGACAGCGTACACTTGTCAGCACCTGCCAAGCTTGTCCGCATCTGCCTCAGCCATTCTTCGGGGATGGGGGTTTCCTTTGCCACCCTCCGTTTCCTCTCCTGTCTCAGTGCCGGCCTCGGCTGAAGCTCGGGTTGTCTCCAACGCTGCCGCTTCGGGTGCTCGCATCTTCGTGGATGTTTGTTGTGGTGCAACTCGCCCGTTGTGTGCCGCTGTTGAAGCCATGCGTCTCCCAGTGCTGCCCGTGGATATTCTTCAGGACTCGCCTTTGGACGTGCTTTCAGACGACGTCTTTGATTGCTTGATTCGGCTTTGCTTCTCAGGCCAAGTGGGCCTTATGCACGCGTCCCCTCCTTGTAAAGAGTACTCTCGTCTTAAGCTTAGACCAGGTGGGCCGAAGGCCATTGGTCCCCTGGTTCTTGGGGGGGTTGCCCTCGGACACGGCCGAGATGTAGTCGCGGGTGACTTCCAGTCGGACCTTGCTTGAGAGATGCGTTCAGTTGCTCGAGTGCGCTTTTGAGGGTGGTGGCCACAGTGACTTAGAGCAGCCAACTAACGCCATGAGCTGGCTGGAGGACTTCGTGCAAGCTTTCTTGCTTCGTGTGCACGCACATTGCATCTCCACTCCAGCTTGCAGTTGGGGCTCGGACATTGCCAAAAGTTGGTTGTTCGCGTCCTCCACCTCGCTTCTCACGTGTTTGGCAGGCAAGTGTGAGCATCCTCGCGGATCCCATGCATCTGTTGCAGGTGTTGTCGACGCGTTTGGCGGCTTTGCTTCTCAGCAGACAGCTGTCTATCCTGCAGGATTGTGTCAAGCTTATGCCAATGCATGCTCCAGCCTCCTGGCCTCGCCGCGTCCTTGCACAGCTCCGCTTTCTCTTGCCTCAGCCCAGGCAGGTATCGCAGCCAAGCCTAAGCTGGGCCCGCCCACAGCCACTCAAGACGGCGGCGGGATAGCTAGTGTCCCAGATTGGAGTTTTCCTCCTCTGGGGGTGCGTGATTGCATGCAAAGTCTTCGCACTAAGCTTCATGCGTGGTTGCTCGAGGCAAGAATTCCTTGTAGACTACACGCACTTCTACAAGGTCAGGAGCTTTCAGGCCTCTTCTCGTTTGAAGAAGTTGCTCATGCACGGTCCCTGTTCTCTGCTTGGCTTTTGGAGCAAGGTCACTCTGGTCAAGTGTCCTGGGAAATTCCTGCGGGTCAACCCTACGCTTTGCATGCTTTGTCAGCGCTGAGCACGTGTCTTAAGGTTGTTTCCTGCTTTGCTTGCCGGGGTACCAACAGGTTTCGACTCTGACATCCCTGCCAGTGGCTGTCTTCTCCCAGCTCCGCCTTCAGAGCATACTTTCGCTTTGGATCTGGCAATCTGCCAAGGCAACTGGCAAGGCGCGGAGTCAGACCCAGCCAGCTTGCAGGAGCTTATCCAAGCTGAGGAAGACGCTGGCTTTGCACGGGAATTTTTTTCTTGGGAGGCCGCTCAGGCCCACTTCGGCTCAGACCGTGTCGCGGTGGGCCGGGTGAACATAGTTCACGTGCCCGGGAAGAAACCCCGTTTGGTAGTCGATTCTTCGGTTTGCCGCACCAATCAGGCCTGCAGAGTACCGGAAAAATCCTGCCTTCCGTCTTTGGGTGACATACGCTCCGCTTTTCCTTTGCGGGAAGACATTGAGGAAGCTTCTGCCTTCTCTGCAGACATTCGATCTGCCCACAAAACAGTCAGGATTCGCGAGAAGGACCAGGGCCTCTTAGGCTTCCGTCAGCAGGAGCGATTGCTTTTCTACCAGGTGGCCCCCTTTGGAGCGGTGTTCTCCAGCCACTGGTTCGCCAGGGTAGGCGGTTTCTTCGTCAGAGTGCTTCACCATCTTGTCTCCTTCTTGCTCACGTGCTCATGCTCTACTCAGATGACCTCTTGCTTTGGCAAAATCGCAAGGTCGTCTTCTTGGGAGCTTCCGTTGTACTCTGTTTCTTTGCGTGCTTCGGTATTCCCATCAGTTGGCCCAAACTCCAGATGGGCTGCAGGATCACCTGGATAGGATGGGAGCTCAACTTCTCAGCTGGGGGTTTTCGTCTGCCGAGAGACAAACGCGAGAAAGCCATTGCTCTCTTGGAAGCCTGCTTCTCGGGACGTCACGTCTCCAAGAAGCATCTCGATAAGGTCTTAGGCTTGATGCAATGGATCCTGCAGTGTGCCCCAGAGCTTCGGCCGTGGCTTTGCTGTCTGTACGATGACATGCGTCGCCCCTTATGCACAGCTTATTATAGCGTCGACCCTTCGGACTGGCCTTGCCTTGCTGCTCACCTCTCCGACAATCTTCGGTTTGTCAGCACGCCGCGGGGCGCCAGCATCCCTGTGGGTTCCACCCTCCTTTCAGCTAGGCGCACGGAGATCAAGTCTAAAACTGACCTTCGTCTTGTGCCCATTTCATCTCGCCGAGTTTGGCTTCGGGTGGCTGATCCTGCATCTTCCAGGCGTAAGTTGTCCGAGCCCAGCCGAGAGATGCTCCGCTTTCTGCTCTGGTGGTGCAAAAACCCTTGGCCTTGGCGTCCTTTGGCTTTGCCACCTGTTCTGCCCTTCGAAAGTGCGGCAGATGCCTTCGGAAGGCAATGCGTGTGGCGTAGGTGGCTGGCTGCGTGTGGGAGCCACCCAGTGCTTCTGGTTCTTGGAGCGCTTCGCGCCAGACTTCCGCTCCTTGGGCATTCCAGTCAAGGATGATGCTAATCTTGACATTTCATCTTATGAGACACTTGCCCAGGGATTTCTCTTGGTCCTTCTGCTTCGGACGGTTAGCGGAGGGCGTCTTCGGGTTAAGCTCCCTGCACTTAGTGATAATGTAGGCGCCGAGAGTGTGATCAACCGCCTTTACACCAGCAAGCAGCCTCTTGCCTTGTTCGTGCAACGTCTTGCCATGTGGGCGTGCGCGCATGCTGTCTCGCTTGCCTGTTCTCACATTGCGGGCGAAAAGAATGTTGAGGCCGATGCCTTGAGCCGCTGGGATGAGTCATGCCCCACACCTCACACCTTCGGCGATGGAGTGCGAGTGCGTATCTCTTTGCCTTCCTTTTGGCAAGTGCAGCTTCAGCCACAGCTTTTGCCTGCGGACACGTTCCTGCAGTGGCGCCTTCCTCAACAGTCGGGCCCTTTGATGAAGCGCAAATGCCGATCGTCACAGCCTCTTGCTATCGGGTGCTTTGCACTGCTTCGCGGGCAAGCTGGGCCTTTGTGCTCATCTGGTCCTCGAGGTCGGGCGAACTCTGTTCAACTCTGAGGGCATGCCTGCCCGCATTTCTCGGCTTGGCTTGTTGCTCAAGAACGTTCGCCACTTTCACACTGGGCAGGTTAGGGGCGGCTTCCTTTTTCTTGGCAACTTCGGACTGGGAATACTGTGATCTATGTAACATATGCTTCTTAATGCTTGCTTTCTTTTGCTGTGCTCTTTCTTCCATTCGGGAGGAAGGAGCAAACACAGATCCCAGCTGTCTCGCCAAGAAAAAAGGAGCTTCAGTTCGTAGAACGCTTTTGCTGCAGCTGTGCTTTAGCTTTGTCTAGTGGAAGTTCACAACAAGC